TCGTGTCTGAATATGGTCCGTCTCACTTGCTGGCCGACCCATCGTTCAAAAATGTGTAGATCATCGCTTTGTAGAACATGCTTGAAATAAATAAATGTAAATAGTTTGGTGACAATATTTATTTATAAACAATTCTTTCCTACAGCTTTTCATTACAACGGGTTAATTGGTATTCCGTGGTTTTAAGGCTTCAGAGCTCATAGGTACGGCTACGTCTGATAATGAGAGAGTTAGAAGAGTGGTTTCAGTAATATCGTGGTAGAGCCAAAGTTTGCCTGTTTCGAAGAATCAACGAAGACTTGAAGAATATTTTTTCCCAAAATGAAAGGGGATTCAATCAAATTGTTTACAAGTTTGCATAGAACTAATAAATCAACGATCAAGACTGCGTACAATAGAAATTAAAGTTTTCACTTAGTGTAACTGAAAAAATGTATCTGTCAATTAAAGACGGACTCACAAAATAACATTTGAAGAGAATTGGGGAAAAAGGACTAGGGTCCATTTTTGGCCCAAATAAGACTAACACTTATTTCGTATGTTATATGGAATACCTATAAGAAATGGCTAGAAAATGACAGTACAAAGAGACACAGTGCGCAACAAAGATGACAGACCATAGGAAATGGCAACGTCGTGCTATTTCGCCGGCTTATGATCGTAAACAATGCATGTAGTTGAGTGCCTAGTTACAGACTTGGTTTAATTGAAGTTGAAGCTTATTGGCGTAATTATTGATTATTCTGTTTTTAAAGTTTTGTGGTGTATTTCTTGTTGTTGTTGCTGAGCAACTGAAAACAAGGAAAAGTTACGCTTGAGTAGTCATCCAACTGGACAAGACTGCAAATGTTCAAAACTTAAATCTCACTGCAGCCGTTTTAAGTACGATCGTGTCTAGGTTTAATCAACTACAAAGTTATGATGAATAATCCCTTTATCAGCGGATTAAAGTAAGATATGCCAGGAAAGCACTCTTCCAGACCTAACCGACTGTCTAGAGAAGTAACAGATTCTGTCATGAAACACATTAGAAGTTTTGGATAGACGGCTTGGATAAAACAACAAAGGTTTATTTACCTGCTGAGCTCAATATTAAGAAAATGTGCTCTATGTACAAAGAAAAATATCCTGAAAAATTAGTTTCTGATAAAAAATATAGAGAAATTTTCAACAAGTTTAATATTGCTATTCGGTACCCACGATGCGATACCTGTATTACATGCGATGAGTTGAAAGTAAAAATTGCCGATATTGAAGAAAAAATGATGAAGATGATTACAATGGAGTTACACACAGCAAGCCTGTTTTATAAACTTAAAAAAGCTGCTAGGCTTGAGGCTCAAAAAGACAAAAAAAAAGGAAGCTATTGTAATGGATTTTGAAAAAAATCTTCATCTGCCGATTATTACAACTAATGACACGTATTATCGTAGACAACTTTCGTTCTACATGTTGAATACACATATCTTTTCGACCTCTGAAGCTCTTTTGTATACTTATAATGATGTTTCAAGAAAAAAGAGTGCTGATGATGTTTCTTCACTGCTATGGGATTACATTTTTAACCATCTAGATTTTGATGTCAAGAAGCTTACAATATTTCGTGATTCATGCTGTAGACAAAATAAAAATTTCACTTATTTCATAATTATTATGTAATTTTGTTAAAAGACTTAACACAATCAAAATAGCTTTTCCTGTTCGTGAACTTTCATTTCTAGAATGCGATAGAAATATGGATTTAGTCAAATTTCTAGCCGATATCTATATGCTCAAGTGTCCTTTTCCTTCAAGACCGGTCAAAGAAATAACTGCAACCGAAATTCGCCCTCGTATGATACATAGGAAAAGCTATAATGGTCGAGAACTTGAAAATGTTTTCATAAAACAGAAAAGAAAAAAACTTTCGCCACCTGAAAAGTGTTTTTTACTTTAGCTTATGATGGGCCAATACCTGTATCTTAAGCAAAATTTCAAGCCTACAACATCTAAAAAGATTCTGTTCTCAAAACGGGCAGGATTTTTTTACAGCAATAATAGATTTTGGACCTTCATCTTTATTGCTAAGTTTTTTTTTGTATTGGAATCAAAGTTTCTTTTTTATACTTTTGCATTGACAATTTATATATTTTTTGTATATTCTGCCAAAAAGTATTTTAGTTCAAAATCATATTTTTGTTTACCATGTTCTAGAGTAGTCTTCCTAAATAAAAGTCACAATTACTCTTCTGTACTCTTCATTTATTTTTTGAGGATATTGGCTTCGAATGTGAACAAAATGATATTCATTATCTTGGATCCTACGCTGACAGTTTGGAACCTTTGGTTCGTTATCGAGCGTGAATGTACTTTCGTCAGTGAAACAAATATATTTTTTTAAATCCCCATTATTATTATTTGCTTTTCCGCCGTTGCAATACAAAATGCTACCCTTCCCGAAGCTGTCGTTGTTGCTCGTATTTATAGGGATAATACCACACTAATAATTTTGATTTCCTTCACGTGCAGCAAATGACTTGAAATAAATATCAGCCATCCGGACAAACCCAGCTACTGTTAAAGCCTCATTTAAAATGAAAAATCATTGTTCCAGATGGCAAAAAATAAGTAAAAAAGGAGCAAGGTAGGAATAAAATGAGAAGAATAGGAAAAGTTGAAGAAAAACAAGAATATGCGTGCGTTCAATTTATATTGATAACATTTTAATTGGCTGTAAGTTTTTTGTTTTTAGAGATATCAAAGTAAAACAAAAAAAAAGTAGGGTTAGTAGCCAAGTTTTTTCCCAGTGACGTATAAACCAAAACACTATCAACTTTCCAACATATAAGCCTACATAACATTTTTTTAAATGGAAAACCCTGTATATTATATATGTGTTTAATAGAATATCTAATTCCGATTACAAAGATATAACACACTTTATATTTTAGTCCACTTATTTTTGACAATTGGGCAAAAATAGGAAATTTTTGTATAATTTCAGAGTGCCGTGACTAACTGCAACAGCAATAATTATTTACAAATTAGAGTAGAACAAAAACAGAAAAAAGTTAAAAAAAATTCAGCTATTCTTAATACTGCTAACCACCATTTTCCTGAATACATTTCTCATACACTCGAATTGTATGATATGCTTGCATTTTGTAACGTTTCCGGATTGTCTCTTAACTGATTGATTGCCTCTGAAATCCTTTGCCGAAATCCTGCGACTATTATTATTACAAGTGCTAGATGTCCCCAAAAGAAAATATTCATTAAAGTTAAATCGGAGCTGTGGCCAAATCATAGTTCCGCCGTTCCCTATCCAACCCCTGGGACATATTTATGGGTAAATCTTCTATATGTTGTCCAATTTTGTGCTCTAAGAATTGTAAATAATGATCTCCAGTTAACTTTTGATATATATCGGACCTAAAATATGTCCATCTATGACACCACAATATACATTAATTAATTGGTACCCCTGGGTTCTTAAGTAGTGTATTTGTCTAGGATTATTTAAAGACCAATATCGCTTATTTTGTCTATTACAAACCCTATATTGTAGTGTAGTGAACAGAAAATTAATTTTTTTTTACAAAACTGCATCCTCCTTTGACATTGTTCTGCATTTAGTTTTTGAGTTTTACGAAATTTTTACGAAAGTTTTACGAAAATATACCTCTCTTCATATACTCCAGCAATAAAGGAAACTGGATGTGCTTTATAGAATCCTAATATTTTTGCCGTATTTTCTTCATTTAAAACACTATGATTCCGGCATAATTTCATACGTTACGGTTTTCTGCAAATTTCTTTGCCAGCATTGTAGAGGATGTACTTAAAATAAATAAGAACTAAAAGCTAAGATTTTCACGAAATTATATATTTTTGCATGTTAATTCTTTCGACAACACCGTGTCTTTATCAATTGTCATATAAAAATATATAATTTCGTGAAAAACTGAGCTTTTAGTTCTTAGTTATTGTGATAAATGGATTTTCATCAAGTAAAAGTCATCTCAGTTCAATTTTTGAAAGAAGCTGAAATTGGTTTCTTGGCTATTTGTTATTTCAAGTTGCTTCTACGTTGCCGAATATGTTCCCAAAACATTTGGTTTTTTATCAAATGTCTGCAAAATAAGGTTTTTCCCAAGTTTATAAAATTAAAAACGAACAAGAAGTCCCGCTCCAAGGACAGCCCAGACAATTGTCATGTAAAAATATATAAATTCGTGCAAATCGGAGCTTTTAGTTTTGATAAATGGATTTTCATCAAGTAAAGGCCACCTCAGTTCAATGTACTTTTGTTATTCAGAAAGTATGCTTGAAGCAATGTCACTCCTCGCGCTTTGTCACTTGGCTTCTAATCCGTCCAATTACAGATTCGTAATCAGTCGCTTTAAGGCACCCCCACAGACTCTCGCTTCCACGACATCGTCCATCTTTGTTCCGCAGATCATTTTCTTATAACGCTGTTGTAATTTTTAATAGTATACTGTATTCAGTAAAATCTACTTTCTATTGTGTTCCATATTACTATAATTTAAACATCTAAGAGGTGAATTGGAGTACCTTTTGCTGGATTTCGCCTTTTCTCTATTGTATATTTGTATATAACGATATATAACAATAAAGGCAATTTATTATTATTATCATTATTATTATAACCCTACACCTGGTTTTTTTGTTTTAGCTTGATGTCTGTAAAAACAATAAAGTACAGCCAATTAAAATGTTATCAAGATAAATTGAGCGCGCGGTTCAATATGATCCTAACTTCCCAGATTTACCAGAAACTCGTATAATATAGTAAAACGAGATGGTGTTAATATTTTTCCAATGCAAAAATGTTTGATGGTGGGTGGACGAATCACTGACGCCTCAAACTGAGACGGCCTATGCCGAACGAACGCGTGCTCCCTAACAAAGCGAACGTCCGAAAAAAAGGAACGACTAACCTACTGTAACGCGATATTATTGAACATGCCTGCCATTTTTGAAACAATAAGACGGTTTTTATTCGTACATATATTAAGGATTTATTTTATCCGACCTTGGGACCGTCTCTCGCGACGACCTGCGTTTAAGGTTCGATTTTGCTTTGTCGACGTCGGCTCGCGGCCTCGATAAGTTTCCTCAGACTCCTCACCCGCGGCGCTTTGCCGGAGAACTCTTGCTTGCACAACTCCAGGTCCCTCTGGAGCGCGTCCAACTCCTTCGAGGAACTCTCCATGTCCGTTAGCAAGGCGGTCTCCGTTAGCAACCCGGTGTCTTCTCTAATGTCGCTTATCATCCCCCTGTACTTGTCTAGGGTCAATTTCTGCCGGTTAAGCATTCGCCGACTCTGCAAGACCTCGCCCTCCACGCGCTCCAGTTCCGACCTCCGATCTGCGACGTCGCGCTCCAACGCCGCAGACTTCTCGCGCAAGTGGGCCAGAATTTGGATCGTGCTTTGACATTTCACTCTCAGTCTGCTCAGCTCTTCGTCCTTCTCCTCGATCCTGTCCGCGTAGTTCCTGTTATCCTCCTTCAGCTGTTCGTAATCGTTTAGGCGGTGCTCCTCGTCGATCCGCTCCAGACGATTGATACCGTCCAGTTTTTCCTGGACCATCTTCTTCAACCTGATGAACTTCAACCTCATCGAGCGCACCTGGTCCATTTTCGCACGTTGCCTCCTCAAAAACCGCTCTACCACCTTGTCGGCTATCGGCTTGCCGGTTTTCGAGTAGATGAGTCCCGTGCCCACGTGACCTTGCCTGAGCTGCATATTCCCGAAGGACTCGTCGAGGGTCGCGCTTTGGAAGTCGCGTTTCCTCCTCAATTCTTCGAGTGCCATCGACGCCACCGTCCTCTGAGTCTCATCAACTTGAAGCGCTTCGCCGTAAGCCTCCAGCCGTCGGTAATACTTGAGCAAGTGATCGGCGACCGGGCCGCCATCTTTGAGAAACATGTCGATCTTCCTGCGTTTGAAGTGCGTCGCCACCTTCTTCTGCAGCATGTTGTTCTTGACTTTGTTCGCGTCGATTTCCTTCAGAACCGCGTCGTACCTGGAAACGTCAACCAAGTGAGAAAACATTTTAATTAGTTCTCTCTTTTTTGTTTTTAGAGATATCAACCCAGCATACAATATCCCCAATATATCCGGTGAATGTTTCATTTAGGTCGCATGTCCCGGGACATGTGGAGGATATTCTTAGAATATACGTTAGCATGTATACAAAGGATATACTGTAAAATACATCCCAGGGATATCCTCTGAATGAATAGCATGCGGATTTACTGTACACGATATGCCACAGATATCCTCTAGATCGAAACCTAAAAAGTGAAATTTTGAACAACTGAGAAGGAAAATGCTTAGTTTTTTTAGATTTGTGGTGTTTTGGGACATATTTTATTGGAAACGTTTTTGTATACATCTAAATCGACGTCAGTGTTGGCAAATCGTAAAAGAACCGAAATCAAACCTTTAAAATCAACTTGTTTTATTATTTTTGGACACGAACGAGACAAACGCCATTTTAATAAAAAATACCACCGAAAATACGGATTCATCTAATTAAAAAAATTACAAAAACGTAAAAATAATACATTTGTCTATAATATCCCATTTGACAACACTGTTTGGCTGCAATGATGCAACAACTCGCGTCCGTGCCGCGCCGGACTCGCTCGAATCTCGTCGGCTTCTCTACCATCTCGTCCTCCACTATCTTTTCAGCCTCGTTTTTGTTGGCGCTATAGTGTATACGGCGAGTTGGCGTCTATTTTGAATATTTTGTGTGCTGTGCTTAGTACTTTCAGTGCTTTCATTTCAGTTATGTTTTTCTGGTATTATTATTACTGAAGAACTAATAATGTAGGTAAAGTTTTATGGAAATATATAACATAAGATTTGATAAATTCTATCCAGAACGAACCATCGTTGTGTAGTCTACCAACTTCATGCCTTGTTTTTTATTATTTTGCTAGATCAATAAGATAGCTATATCAGGCGGCGGCGGCAGTTGTAAGTTTGTAAAACAATCTTTGACCACGCTGATTTCAAATGAACGTGCAATGAAATTTAATTGGTTGGGCATGAAGAAAAAGGAGAAATTTTCAAAATTAAAATGGGTCAAATTAATATTTAGTAAGTAGATATGTTTTTAAAAAATAAATAGTAATGTAATATAAATAAAGTAAATGAAATATAATTTAATAAAATATATGTTATAGCGATTGCTTAGTTGATACTTTTTTCTAGACTTCTTTCCGTATCTTATTGCTTTGTTTTTGAAAATGAATGAAATGAAATCCACTTTCCACATTTTTTTTATTTAAGTAAGCAATATTAGGGAAAATCCAGAACAAAATCATATCTTTAATTATATTGTATAATTAGTATATTTTTTTTTTAAACTGGAGGCAAGAATCAGCCCCCAAAAACAAAGTATTAATTTTAGGAATCACCCTGCATAAAGTACAATTTTCACATTAAAATGGTTGTTGGGTTAATTGATGAAAACGTTTTTCCTATTTTTTAAGGTTTGTTTTCATGGTGATAGTAGGTACCTTCACGAGAAAAAACATTTGAAAAAATTTTTGGTTGACGCAAATCAATGCATGAAAATAAGCTTTATATATATATATATATATATATATATATATATATATATATATATATATATATATATATATATATATATATATATATATATATATATATATATATATATATATATATATATATATATAAATATATATATATATATATATATATATATATATATATATATATATATATATATATATATATATATACATATATATATATATATATATATATATATATATATATATATATATATATATATATATATATATATATATATATATATATATATATATATATATATATATATATATATATATATATATATATATGACACTATATTCCGGGATATCATCCGTTCGCTCGTTGAACTCCGACTGGAATCCTGCATCCGACTGGAATCCTGCAAATCCTGCATCCGACTGGAATCCTGCAGACGTTTCGCCAAAATCTCACTTGGCATCTTCAATGCTCGCGCTCCGAAAACACTTCGAACACTGTTCGAACAGTGTTCGAAGTGTTTTCGGAGCGCGAGCATTGAAGATGCCAAGTGAGATTTTGGCGAAACGTCTGCAGGATTCCAGTCGGATGCAGGATTTGCAGGATTCCAGTCGGATGCAGGATTCCAGTCGGAGTTCAACGAGCGAACGGATGATATCCCGGAATATAGTGTCATCATATTTTTCCATCCGTGAATCAATACGTGAGAATATATATATATATATATATATATATATATATATATATATATATATATATATATATATATATATATATATATATATATATATATATATATATATATATATATATATATATATATATATATATATATATATATATATATATATATATATATATATATATATATATATATATATATATATATAAGTTACTTTAGGTTAGGTAGTTCTATATTTTTTCTATATTATATACCTACAATTTTTTCATATCTACAATAGAAAAAAATGTGTATAAAATGTGTTTTATTAATGGTATCAATCCGCAGTCCTTCACTTTTACCATCAAAAGCAAAATTAAAGATTAAATATTAATTAAAAAACTTGTGTATTTCAAATGTCAAATCAGTGATGACTTCACCAACCATACCCAACAGGGTAATTGCATCACACGCGAGTACCAAATACTGGGATAGAATTTTTGTAGTCGTACAACCAATGTGGACATTACCTTTCCAGTTTTTCTCATAGACAGTTGGAAATAACCTAATAAGTAAGCGTATACTGGTATATCTATTTATCTATTTATCTATATTTATCTATTACAGGATATACTAACGACTTCTTAACTAGTATAACTGGATATCCTTAGGATGTTCTAACAAACATCTTACGGACATACGTGTGTGATATACTGGGACGTTCCAATTAATAACATCGGAAATCCTTGAAACGTCTTAAGGATGTCCCTTTAGCTGAAGCAGTATATCCCTAGGAAATAAGCTATCTCCCGTTAGATCTCAAGGACGTTTTACGGACGTTCTTGTACTATTTGGGAGAGTAGCCGACTTTTTTTCCAAGTGACGTATAAATCAAAACACTATCAACTTTCCGACATATAAGCCTACATAAAGAACACCATGTATATTATATATGTGTTTAACACACACAATGATGTAACACACTTTATTTATTTATTTATTTATTTATTGACAATTAAGGTTGCATACAGTACAAAGTACTAAAAAAAAGGGCCCCCGTTGTATCTTATAAAGATAGGTTAACAAATAAATCTAAATTTTAGCACTCATCAAAAAATAAATATACCAAAGTGATATAATAATATAAAGACAATTACAAGTTTACATTTTAATTATGGTGTTCTATGTCGTCTTATGTCCTAGAAAATATTTTTCCACCCTGCGTTTAAAAAAATAGGAGTAACAAACATATATTTATGATAATAAATAAAAAAATATATTTCGTAATCTAGTGATATGTTGGTTCGGTATTGGTCGACATCAAATAGCGCCCTGTCTCTTGCGTTCTGTCCTGGTATTCGTAGGTTAATCTTTGATAAGAGGTAAGGAGAGTCAACTGGATCATTTAAAATATTGTATACCCGACGTGAAGTGAAAAAACTCCGATTTATATCCATCAACTGTCACTCTCCCTTTTCTATCACTTAAATAATTGCTGGACAATCTAACCATTTCGGCATCAAACTTTATATTTCAGTCCGCAAAAATAGGAAGTTCCACGACATTATTACAAAGAAATAAATCCATGAAAGTTAAGAATGGGCTGTTAGCTGGTCAATCCATAGTTCTGCTGATTCCTATCGAACCCCTGGGGTATTCCATATTGAGAAAATGTTTAACTTGCCCAACATTGTGAGGAGGGACACCGGCTCATATATTCTATTTGGTACTCTAAATCTATGTTCTATAATTATCGGACTCAAAAATGCCCATCTATGACAGCACACCATACATGGCCACAGCCCCGATTTAATTTTAATGGACTTTTTCTTTTGGGAACATGTAGCACTGAACTCCTTGTAATAATGGCGTGGAACTTCGGCAAAGGATTTCAGTGGCAATCAATCAGTTAAGAGACAATGCGGAAACGTTACAAAATGCAAGATACAATACAATTCGAGTGTATGAGAAATGTATTCAGAAAAATGGTGGCCACATACAGCAGTATTTAGAATGGTTAATTTTTGTTTCTATTTTTGCGTTTTTGTTCTACTTTAATTTGTAAATAATTGTTGTTGCTTCAGTCAGTCACGACACTCCTTGAAGTTATATAAAATTTTCCTATTTTTGCCGATTTGGACTAAATTATAAAGTGTGTGTGTTGTAATCGAAATAAGATATTCTATTAAACACACATATAATATACAGGGTGTTCGATTTAAAATACATGATGTAGGCTTGTTTCAAATGTCACTTGGCTAATAACCCTACAACAAAAAAGTTACAGCCAATTCAAAACTTATCGAGAGAGATTGATCGCACGGTACCTTTGGTAGTACGGTTCCCTGTCTATTAGTCTCGGCTGGTAGGGTTCCGTTTCGCCGGGCTCTTCTTCCTCCGCACCGTCGTAATCGTCGAATAGGGCGAAGGTGTCTGCTTTGGTGAGATCGAAAAAACCCTCCAAGTGGTCCAATCCGGATATCCTGGGGATCGCGTCGTAGAAAATGCTCTGCCTACTTCTGGCGGTTCCCCTGAAGGAGACGGTCGATCTCCTGGAAGATCTGGTCCTCGAGCCGTCGTCCGTTTTGGACGTACGCGTTTCGCTCTCGCGAATTGATATTTTCTTTTCGGTGGGAGCGATTTGACCGGAATCCACGATGGTGACCTTATTCAATCAGGTCATATTATAAAGAACAACATCTCAACAGTCGGATAGACACCGTACTATTGCACTTGATAGTAGTTTGAACTTTGTAGCGAAAACCACACACACGCACATTAGATAAATCTTAAGATGAGGTGCAAGAGTTCTATAAAGATGTAGATGCGGCGTTAAAGATTGCTAGAAAGGAAGTAGTCATCCCGGTTATGAATGACTTCAATGCCAAGGTGGGCAGGGGCAGGCATAGTGACATTGTAAGAGAGGGGGACTGTCAGGAAATGGCACAGCTCCCTCCTCGACGCTTATACACTTGGTTAAATTAGCGAATATTCAACACAAGGTCGTTAGAGACAAGAGAGCTAAGAGATAGAGACATTGCACAGAGATATTGCACCAAAGATCAGAAAACATAAGAACCAGGAGTGGATCTGATAGAAGTCCGGAGGCAATATAAGATCCCAATTCCCGAATTTAACTAGATATTCGGGTTCAGGTTCGAAGAGCAAAAGAACATTTAATGGAGGAACACTGCGATGAAGGTGAAGCTTTACAGAACAAAGTGGACACGTTTAGGTCACATTAGAACGTCAATAAATCTAAAATACGAAATGAGCAAAGTGAATTACGTCTTCAATCTTTTCGTAGCACCCCAACCAAACTTGTAAGCTTCCAACTGAGGGTCTATGTGGTTCACCTATATTGAAATATGAGGTCGTCTATGCGCTAAAATCTGCAAACATGCATAAAGCGCCGGGTCCAGATGACTTTAACATTGGGGCCTAAATGTTATTAGATGATAAAAATGTGAACATCTTGGTGGAGTTATTTAATCGTATTTAGGACACAGGTTACATCCCTTCAGACATTTAATAATGATCCCGAAGACAACCAAATCTCAAAAGCACCGCTTAATTAGGTTAATTTTCTGAAACTCCTACTTCAAGTCCTCCACATCAGAATGTTCAAAAAGTTGGAAGATTTGAAAGGCCTTTGTACAAGAGAGGTATGGTACAAGAAAATAAGGCTATTTGTCGATTATATAGAGGCATTCGACAATGTCAGACCTGATGTACTACCAGGGTGTTCGCTACAGATGCATCCGTCATATTATTTCACTTGCATGTGGATGGAATTGACTGTGCTATGCCGATGACACTGATAACAGCGAAGATCTACAAATGACGCTAAATAAAGTTGATAATTTTGAAAAAAGTAGAGGCTTGAATATAAACATCTCGAAAACTAAACATAGTAACAGCCAGCAAAGAAATCAACTACATACAGAGTGTTGCGAAATTGAGTTCGGAACTCGAAATTCTAATATTTTCCCAGTGATGGCATGTCAAAATTCATTTTTTTCAATTTAATAAAGTAGAATAGATTGCATTAAACAGAATCACAAATTCTAATAAATTGTTACTTTTATTTTAAGTCGATGAACTTTGTTGTTTACTCACAAATCGACTTTTTTATTTATTATTAATAATAATCGGAAATTAAAGAGTATACAAAGCTAATCGCAATTCATTTTCAAAATGCGCACCGTTCATTTCTAAACACTTTCTTAAACATTTTAAAAGATGCTATCGAACACAAAAAAATACGCCTTATCTATTTCTAATGATTCTTTTATTATTTTTTGTCCTAGATCATTAATATCTGTCCTAGGTGTTTCATACACTAAAGACTTTAAGTGCCTCCAAAAAAAGAAGACCATCGGATTAAGGTCTGGTGAGCGAGGTGACCAAGCTAGAGGTCCGCCCTGACGTATCCATCGATGTTTAAATGTCTTAAATGTATTCACTGCAAGGGTACCTCTTCCAGCAAAGGTGGTAATTTCTCTCTTGGAGCAATTGCAAATACATTTTCACATTAAGCGATCCGTTCAACAAATGCGCTCCTATAAGATTATCTCCTATAATCCATGCCAATCCCTTCGATTTTTGCATGTCAGTTTTCAATGTTCCACTAATACATGTTTCGAAAATGTACAATGCCATCAGGACTGAATGCTTCCTCGTGAGTGAACAATGGCATTTAAGAATTGCGGGTAATTTTGATTTTTTCCTAAAATTTGATTGCATGAAATTACTCTCAATTACTAATCACCCTCATGCAGTGCTTGAACTCGGTTCTTTTATACCTTGGTCTCCCGTTATTCGTATTATCAGGTTTGAATAATCCTATTTCACCAAGTCTTCTGTGTATGTTGATGAATGTGTTAGCAGATGGAACGTTTCTATTGCATGCATGCATATCTCGATATTCAGTATTTGAATATTGAAATTTGAAATATATGAAATTTCGTTAAGTCCTGTTAGAAAAAATCACATTTACAGGATAACACTCCAAGCTTCCGAACTCAATCTGCGAACACCCTGTATATTAATAACGAATCCATAGAGCCGGTTAAATCATTTAAATATCTTGGAATTGCTGCAAACAGGCAAGACAAGACAAGCATTTATTAAATTCAAACCCTTCTTCTGTAACCCATATTACAAGCACAAAAAAAAATAAAAAATGCTTTTCTGTTCTGAAATTATTTATTTTGTTGCACTTAGGAATACATTACATGTGTCAAAAAAAAACTCGAAACATACACAAAAATACTGGTGCGTAAACGAACCACTATCACTATATCAGTTGGTTCCCCAAACTTTTGTAGATTTATGTTATCGTTCATATCTTCTTTGTCAGTCAAGGTATCCACCTCGGGTAAAATATAGACCGCGTCAATTTTTTTTTCACGTTATTTTTAGCATAAATTTACAAGGAATGAAATGCTACAATACATAACAATACATAAATCCAAATAATACTTACGACTATTATTGTTACTGTCCTCATCGCGATATCCTCCATAGCCGCCTCTAATTCGTTTTCTTCAACTTCACAATGCACAAACTAATACTAAAGAACACGCTAATTGTCGGATGTTTATTCTACATGCGCTGACTTGTCTAGACTTGCAATAACAAAATTTTGTTTCACAAATAAAACCAGTGGTGCATTCAAGCACCAGTAAATATTTTCAAAAAATAAAGCATAATCAATATAGTATTTCCAATGTATGTTTTCTGTGATGTAATGTACATGATATAGACTTAACAAAAATGGCAATACAAATCCAAAATATGTTTTTTTATAGTTTTGGATTTACTTTGTTATCTTTTGAAGTTATATATAATGTCTTTCCTTTACACATAAATTAGCAATTTCTACGGTTTCATATTCTTTAGTAGCGGTAATAATAAAATTTCTAAATGGATGTGCAAAAATATTTCCTGGATGTGCATGGTGGTGCATTAGCACACCACTGAAACAAAATGGGTTAAGATCCGTCATTGAATGGTGCAGTGTTATGTATGGTCAGTTTTACTTTATGGCATGAGAGCCTGGACCTTAAAAACATCGTCAATCAATATATGTGGTCATTAAGGAGAATATTAAGAGGACATGTTAAGAAGAAGAGAACCTTCGATACTCTTCCGTCTGCGTTTTCGGTACGTTTGGATCGTCGCCGTGCATCAAGAACATCTTGCTGAGCAGCTAGAGGGTCCGTTTCAGTCGATCGAGGGTCGGAGTCCATGGCCGCGACTCGAACATAAAAAGAAACATAAAAAAAATTGCCAGAAATTTTCGACGATCGTGAAGCGACCGTCACATTCCGGCTACTGTCAAATCGATTTGGTTTTCGGAACGGCATGGATGGTGGCGTGGCAGATTCTTTTGACAGAAAGCGCAAACGTCACATTACCGAAATTTCAACAAGATGCGGACTACTCGAACTGGTGTTTCCTGTGGTAGAAAAAACGGCCATACATTATGTGTTTCCTGTATGCTTCTTGACATGGGCAAGATTGGGAGTCTTCGGAACGGCCCTGATCGATCCGGACTCAGTGCACGGTATTGGGCTAAAGGAGTTGCTGACCTTCTATAGGAGGGGCGGCATTCTGGACGCCCTCTAGAGCGGCCTGGGGGCACAACGGGCCCATCTGGTGGCCTAAGTGCTTGGACGCCGGCGAGGGCGCCCCCCTTTAATACCAATACCAATACCTGTATGCTTCAGTTCTAACATTATTTTATTTTCCGATATGCGACTCGCCATATTCACAAGGTATCTGGCAGACACACTCTTGAATCGAAGCGTGTGACCCTTGCAGAGACAAAATATATTTTACTCATCTCACAGCTAACTTCACCACAACCTTCCAATAGCAATATTTTGGATATAACGCTTAATATCTTTAATGTGGAAATTATTAGAGAGAAGAGCGGAGGTAACGTGTTTTAATTCTGGTTTCAATGACAGGTCTGATTTTCTATTGATATGAATATCTAAGAATGGGATGTTTTTATTAGTTTCTATCTCAATGGTAAAACGTATGTTACGGTGTATAGAGTTTAAATCTCGAAGAAAATCTACTAGGGATTCGTGATCATGAGGCCAAATAACAAAAGTATCATCGACGTAGCGTTTCCATAATTTTGGTTTTAGATGGAAGGTGTGTAGAGCTTTCTTCTCAAAGGCTTCCATAAATATATTAGCGATGACTGGTGATAGTGGAGAACCCATAGCTGTTCCCGACATTTGTTCAAAAAATTTGACCGTTATAAGAAAAATATATTCCAGACAAGCATTTTTCAATTAAGGTGAGAAGGTTTGGTTCCAGGTTCTCGGATTTTAGTATATCTGAAATGATGGTGAGCGTTTCAGGGATAAGAACTTTAATAAAGAGAGATTCTACGTCGAAACTGATCAGAATATCTTGTGTGTCTAATGTAATTTATTTGTTAAATGATGTGAAAGGAGTTAAGTATGATACTGTCAGTTTTCCCTGTAAAGGGTTTTAATAAGGAAGCTAGATATTTTGCTAGAGAATATGTTGGAAAACCAATGGTGCTAACAATAGGTCGAAGGGGTAATCCTAGTTGGTGAATCTTTGGGAGTCCGTAGAGACAGATTTTTAATACGGAGTCTGATAGAGAAGAATTCTTAATGATTGATTTAAGGTTGCGCTCCATAGATGACGTATTATCTTTTTTAAGTTGACGATATGATCCATCAGTAAGAATATCTTGAATCTTTTCCTGATATTTATTTGTGTTCATGACCACGTTAACATTTCCTTTATCTGCTTTTAGGATTACGATGTCGGGATTAGATTTTCAGATTTCAGGGCAATGCGTTCAGGCTTTGGAGTATTAGATTTAGGGGGTTTTGATTTTTTAAGCATTCTTGAGGCTTCAAATTGAATTTCATTAGCTGTTTGAGGTGGCAGTTTTTTTAGGATAGACTCGACGTTTGAAATAATTTCCTCTTTTGGGATAACTCGCGAGGCAAGGGCAAAGTTGGAACCATTTGAAAGAACTGATTTTTCTGTTTCCGACAGTTGGTGCGATGATACATTTATCACAGTTTTTTGTAGTTGAGAAGAGTTTGATGGTTTCCCTAGTATTGACGTGAGTATTTGAAATTTGTGAATGTGATTCGGAGCAGAAGATAAACGGAGATTTAAAGCTTTGAATACGAGCCAGTTTCAGTCAAGCTCTGAAGAAGCCAACAGGAGGAATCCAGAAGTTTTATGAAACGTATTACGGTAGCCTGTGGATGTTTCTTTGAAAAATTAAAGATTTGTTCATTTAATATCTAGTGAAAGTCACAGCTCGGTCAAAACTGACTGAAGCGCTGCCAGCTATGTCGCAGATTCTTAGAGGAACGGTTCGGTTTGAAGCTTGGTTGAGCCAGCAAGTGTCCAAATTTCTCTCGAGAGGTTTCGAGGGTTCTTTTGCTAAGAGGCGGGGTGAGACCGGATGATGGATACGACTCTCCACAGCTTCAGACAGTAGCGGACCCGCCTTGCCGACCTTTAGCAGAACGTCGTGTACGGTTTCTAAGAATAGAGTTGGGGCGTTTTATAGCCGCCGTTACCTGTAACCTCGATACATCTTATGAAAGAGCAAACGACGCTCGTTTGTTTGCGATTTATTGGCCGCGTCGTATCAATCGATCACGTTCGGCTTTTTGACGGACGACGCTGTCCGGACCCGATGAAATAATGCCCTTTTACTCGAACCGCGGCGTTGCCGTTTCATTGCCTCACCCAGACAAATGATAATTTTTTTTTGTGAGCATGCGCGAGATTTAAAATGTCGTTTTTAACCAATGGCAACTCTAATGACAATTTCTGACGCAGGATCCATAAGAACTTGCGGCTTTCAGCACACAACATGGCCGCTGTATTGTTTTATGTGAGATTCTTTTTTTTTATATATTGGCATACAGTGTTAGTTTTCACAAAGTCATAGGTTTAACGCCCACTGAAATAACTTTGAGATGTTAGATATCGCACATGAAAAATGTAAGTGAAAAAATGTCCAAGAAACACCTCCTATGGACAGTGACTGACACACATGCACTGATATTGCCCATACTTCCTTCGTAGCTACTTAAGTGTAACTTAAAATTTAGAGACTTTTTTTTGTAAATTCGCATGTAAATATTTGTGTAAGTATACGTAACCTATCCCGACAGATGTTTATTCTGCATTAAGTGGGTCTTGCCTGAGATGGACCGTAACGAATATTTGTAGAAACTTGAAGGTTTTATTTCAAACGTAAATGGACCTTTTTAAATTAGTTTAGGAATTGATGCTGCGGGGTATTTTCCAATAAGTTGAAGCATTTATTTTAACATCAGGTGTATCGCTCTTAAGAGTTTAATCTAAATTGCAAATATGTTCGTATATATTACGGAGGTATTTGACAGTGAGCCTTTCAGTAATTGTGCATTGTACCTGATTCTCGAGCTTTTCACTGGATAGTTCAAAGGGTTATTCTTATTGTATTTTTGTGTCTTCTACATAGTTCTTCGATTTGTAAATAACAACGGCAACGTCGCTCGGAGCTCTGCGAGAACGCGGAACTACGTCTTTCTCACGAGGTTCGTAAAAGTTTCGCGCGCCGATCTTGGCAAATCACGTGACGTCGGATCCGTTTAATTGGTCGGTGCAAATCACTTATTCAGCTCAGAAAATTACTGGATTCGATAATTCGGAAAATAATAGAGGGCAATAAAAAACGTCTATCTTTAAGTGGAGCAACGAGGAGGACCAGCCCAGAAATGATTTTTGAGATTTAATGCCACGTTGCCAACTGATTCGAAAAATGAAATATGTTGAATAAAAACGTGCTTTCCTATGGCCTCCTAGAGCCTTATAAATGAAACTTGCTGAACTTTCGCCAATCATCCTGATGGCTTTTTCAGAGCTTGACTGAAACTGAAACAGCCAGTTTCAGTCAAGCTCTGAAGAAGCCAACCGGATGATTGGCGAAACGTTAGCTGGTTGGAGTAAATAAAAACCGACGCAGGAGAAATCCAGAACTTTTATAAAAAGTGTTGCATTAGCCTGTGGATGTTTCTTTGAAAAATTAATGATATCCTAGTTGAAGTCAGAAAGTCGCCTCGGATTGGACTTAAACTTTATGTTCATATTCGCCACACGTGGGCACGATATCGCCTAAAAAAATGTCGGTTCGTGGGCGTTTTTTCATATACGGGGAAAAATCGATGTGTCGTGAGCTCTCGAGTGGTCGGAAAGTTCGCCGAAGAGAATCACGCTTCCGTTTCCGCCTTTGACCTCGCCCGTCAGTTTATTCAAATTCAATCTCGCTTGCATGCGAGATACGTCCGCGAAGTTGAATAAATTCCTATCGAAGCGTTCACGGTGTCTTACGAAAAATCCAATGAAATAAATGCGAAAGAGTTTGTGCTTACCGCTGAAAATTCTGGTAAGTGAGGAGCGGAGAACGTGCAAGGGAAAAACCCCAACATATGCGCGTTTAGATGCATAGAACCCGTTAAGAACCGATTTGTCCGTCTTATTAAATTTGTTATTTCGCCACGGCTTCGTAGCAGGACGTTCTACTGCTTCCGAAGAGCTGACGTCGCTATACCACGACCAGAAATATAGTGCTTTTACAACCGAGCCCGTGATTGACTTTGCCTACTGTTTGTTACTCAACCCCCTATAGAACACCCTGCCCAGCGTTCCAAGATCGTCCTAGGAATTTATCTACCTACAATTAAAAGCGAGTAGATATATAATGACAGTTTCCCATAAGAAAATTTAAGGTTCGTATTGGCGAAAATTGGTCCGGTGAAACTAACCAAAACAGCCTCCTTAATTATTGACATTCAATGAATTCAATATATACAGGGTGCGGCAGCATAACTTCCTTTTTTTAAATGCGCGCCATTCAGTTAGTTGATGTCACAGTGGGGCGCTAGTGGTCTCGTTCAAGAGGGGGTACTGTAAAGTTTTGTCCCGACACGGTTCAGGCGCCATCATGCGTTGGAATAGTGAGGAGCGTGCCTTTGCCGTTGAGGCCTACTTTTCAAGCGGTTGTTCGGTTGTTGCAACACAGCGTGCATTTCGGAATCGCTTTAATTTAGCCCCGTTGGCTCCCGTCCCAGACCGCAAATCAATTGTTACATGGGTCACTACATTCAGACAAACTGCAAGTGCGACAAAACAAAGAACTGGAGTCCCTCGGCCCGTTAGATCACCTGAGAACATTGAAGCAGTGAGAGCTTCAATGTTGCGATCACCACGGCGTTCTGCGCGCAAACACGCATCTGCCCTTGGACTATCCG